TCTCATTGTCACAGGTCGGCTAGAACTATGAGGTCAGTGAAAAGAACTCACCTCATAGTTCTCCTTTAAGTTGCACAAGTGGAAAAAAATGGGAAATATTTAAAACATAAACACAATTTGAAGTACCTCATTTGCAGCTAGCCGGTAGCTTATAAACCTGGCGGTTTTAGTTAATGTGAGAAAACCATGTAGATTTGCTTATATACACACAATAATGGGAAGTGTGTTGTTTGCACATTAGATGAAGAAGTGTAAATGGATTTACACGTAGATACACTTTTTCCACCTTTAAAACATACAACTAGCTTTCCCTTTTAACTACTTTAAACAGCTTTAGCAATGTCACAAGCTCAATTCACACAGACCCAGCAAGTCACAATGTTTCACTCTGCATGCAAAATACTATTATTATCTTGGAAACCATTAAAATGTGATATAAGAGGCATATAAAAAGGGCAAAGCCATATAATTACAGACAATGAAAACTACCACTGTCGTGCATTATCCATCCTTACATTAACCACAGAGTCTATACAACAAACCCCACTCATACAAAGAACACTCAGTATTTTCTCTTAAACACGTAAGAGAAGTCATATACTAAAAAACATGAGAAATAATGGACATCGTACAGTTCTATATACAAGATGTGATCTACAATTCATTTGCAGGATTCACACAAGGTAAAATCCGGGTTAGAACCTGTCAATTTTATTACTTCTAAGAAGTCACAGTCATCTAGGCGTTTCTCATGATCTTAAAGAATTATGATTTTTAACAATTTTTCATTTATAATCAATCCACCCAAAACTGACATTTCTAGGGCTGTAAGTTAGCGGTCATAGTGTGATACTCTGCTGCAATTTCTTGAAGGTATAATTAAACTCTCAGGTTTTTTGCATATATCTACTGCTAGCAAGTGGTAGATATATGCAAAAACATCTTTTTAAAAAAGTTACCAAAAAAGGTAATTACTTACCTGTGTCTCCGCCGCTCGCTCCCGTCTGAAGATCTGGAGCTTCTCGAGCGGCCGAGCAGGATGATGGGCGGGCACATGCGCAGTAGTGATCTTCGTCGGGGAGAAGAGGAGAGACACAGTGGAGGTGAATGCATGCACCCAGGAGCATGCACGTCGGACAGGCACCGTGGGACACAGAAGACACAGCAGTCTGGGCTGGATCAGAGACCGGCACCAGCGCTAGAGGGACTCCTGCATGCAAGTGGAAGGAAGATGATCGGATCAAGAGGCATCATTTAAGGTAAGTCCTTAAAGCAGCGTGGGGAGGAAAACACTATGGCATCTCAAGCTACTGGCTGTCACTGGCGGCTGTGAGGAGAAATGCGCTGCTATTCAGATCACTGACAATCTGTCAGGGATTTGTGCAGTGATAGCCAGCTGCAGAGGAGGAGGCTGGGCCCAGCAAAAGAGGAGGTGGGACCCAGCAATTGAGGAGGCGGGGCCCAGTGACGCAGGAGGCTGGGCCCGTCAGCAACCGTGGAGGAGAAGAAGGCGGACAGCGGATGGGGGCTGACAGATAAGAGGTGTACATGCCCACTATGGTGGGCTCTGCAGGGTCACTCTCTAAGTTCGGCTGTTTGGGTTATCAGGTGGGTGTAACTAGAAATCACAGGGCCCCATACAAAATTTTGCTAGTTGTGCTAGTTCTAGTTACGCCCCTGACAGGCATAGAACTGTCTCCTTCAAAACTGGAACATAGATTGAGGTTCGATCTGCACGGGGCATCATGCATGGGAACATGAATCTACAGATTGCAGGCGCGAAGGGGTTACATCAAGAAAAAGCTTCCAACGTACCACAGAATTTTTCTTTAATAGCAATAATACAACAACAAGCACGTTCCACCTCCAGTCCACCTGTTACATGCTATGCCTGTTCAGTGTGTCAGGCAGACTTACATTAGCTATCTTTTTCTAGTCACTTTTCAATAACTGTCTTAGCAAAATTCCATTAGGTTTAATACAAATACATAAAAAATATACATTTGTATCATCTACTTCTCAAATTAAAGTGATTGGAAGAAAAACATATTTACAAAGGATTCTCTATCCCTTACAAAGAATTAGCCAACAACACACCTCTGATTTATATAGCTGGCTCTTTCCTGTAAATCCAAAAAATCTACCAAGTCGAGAGGACATGGTCCTGAACTTTTGCCATGTACAGAAGAAGATAAACAAGCTGACGACATATGCTGTTGATATAAATGAATGCAGCTGAACTGTTTTGCAGCAAGCTTTTCACAAAATGACTGTCTTGCACTCTCTCCCATCCATATATCCATCTGCCATTTCCCCTCACAAAGCAGGATCAGAGACATATGGTTTCCTGCATTACTATCGTTTAAATATCATTTGAATCTGTTCGCTCTCATTGCAATATTTTTTGCCCGGCGCCCGGAACTACATGTCCCCGGCGTCGGGCGATACGAATTCCACACCCCTGATTTTGCCTCAAGTACACCACATTGCATTCCAGCCCTGAGAACAGAAAATGCAATAATGGTTTTACTCCATTATAGTAACAGCACCTAATGAGTTCATTGATGACCAACCCCCTGATAAAAGGAATGTATAGTGGTTTTGTAGCTCCTTTTTTTTTTTTTCTTTATCATGGCCAGGACTAAAAAATTATTGTAAAAATTTTTTTCACTCAGGTAAACATCACATTTGCATTTGGATATTATGTTATCTTCTATCCAGCCAGCAGGTGGAGCTCTGTGCTCCTTTCCTTGTTTTCTTCTGTCTCCTTACCTACTGCCATTGAAAGGTCTGGTGTTTATAGGGCACAATAGCTCAAGATGATGCACACACAAAAATAAAGTCAGAGCAGTTATTCATTACTGTTTCTCTTGCGTATCAAAGGTCTCTATTAAAAGGTTTAAAGAGACCCTGTCACTAACATAAAAAATGCAGATAAAAGTAAAACAAAGTTTAAATGCTTTCTTGCAGTGTTTTTGTTTTCCATAAAAAAAATTTCAGAGTGTAAACTTGCTAGAAAATTGACTACTCCAGGAAGAATCAATTCCCTAACTCTGCCCCCTACCTTATTGCATATCATAGCTTTCTCCTCTTCTGGCAGTATCTTCATACTCTCTATGCTGACCCAGCAACACCTCCCCTCCCTTCCCTACACAATCTTTTATGAAGCTGGTGGGAGAGGGGTGAAGGGGAATACTATACAGTGTCACTTGAGTGACAGCTCTGAGACTACTGGGAGTGCCAACATCACATCCAAGATGAAGATGATCATGAGCAATCTCAGGGCCTTTTAAGGACTAATGACAGAGCCTCAAAGTTGGACAAAAGTTAGCCCCACATCTCTCCAAACTCAAGGATACCCAAAGTATCATTTGTCAGGTTTCAAACAAAGATTGTACAAAATATTCTAATAATAATGAAAAAAAAAAAAGATATAAAACCTCAGCTTAAAAAGGTTAGACATGTGTAAAAAAATAAAATTAAATTCATCCAAAATCATTATAGTTTCCCTTTAAACAAATACACAAATTGCTAACAGGCCTAAACTACAAATTCAATGAGAGCAATGATACCTTGCATCATTTTAAAATAAAAATATTAGGGCTGCAACTAACGATTATTTGGCCAATTATTTTTTAGATTAATTGGATAAAAAAAAAAAAAGAAAAGTCTTTTATTTAAAATACTCAAATGGAGTGTTACATACAAAGTCTACTTCAAAATAAAAACTGAATGCACATTTTTTGCAATCGCACTGCAATGGCATTGTAGTACCGCGCGTTGCAGTGCGAGCGATCACACTGCGGGTGGTAAGCACGTTTGGGGCGCCATTAAAATAAATTGCGCCACAAAGCATATCCCGCTGCAGAATTTATGAGGCCAAAACGAAAAATTATTTTTCCCACCTTTTTTATTTATTTTTTTTAATAACTGTATATATTATATTATAAATTTTTATTAGTTTCATGGACTTAAAATAATCTGAATTGTACATTGTAAATTGGACAAAAATTACAATTGTTTATATATATATGTATAAAAATCCCAGTCATCAGTTTAGAGTTAGCCATGAGCATTGGCCCAAGGGTTGTTGCTTTCACTCTGGCAAATGCAGTGATACCTGACATGTGCAGCGCAATCGTCGTTTTTATACGTAGGTGCACCCGACTTTTTCTGTTAGTATGCGCGCGTTCACGGGGCCAAGGGACTTTACATTTTTTGGTGGGCATTTTTACATTTGATTTTATATAAAAGTGATACTAAACTCAGGAGTTAAATCTTAAAAATACATTCAGGGATCTTAACTATTAACAAAAATGTATCTTATTTGTGATGGATTACAATCTCAATACAAATAAGTAACCTAAACCTGAGATTGTAGTCCATCAAGAGAGCGTGCTTGGAGCAGTGGCTACTTTACAACACACACAGGGAGCATGGGGAACAAAAGTAGCCACCCTCCAGAAGGAAGGACAGTGTCAGCACCAATTCAGAGATGATTTGAGGATCTACAGCCGAGTGATACACAAGTAAGATACATTTTTGTTAATAGTTAAGGTACTTAAATGTATTTGTAAGATTTAGCTCCAGAATTTAGTGTCATTTTAACTTTATTTTTTAATTTTAATTTTTGTAAACATTTTTTTACTTCATTGCTATCATATGGGGGGGGGGGGGCTCACAAGCCCCCTATGTAATAGCACATTGGAGGTGACAGATTCTCTTTAAGGTGACACTAGGGGTCTATCAAACCGCTAGTGTCATCTTTCCACTTCAGTGTCCTTAACCGTGGACCCTTAGTGCTGCAAGGCAGAAGTGCTAACCGCTACGCCGCCATGGCAGGTGTTTCACACAACCATTTCATACTCAAAGTGTAGGGAAGGAGAATTTAACAGATGACAGTACACATCACAGGTAGATGTATCAGTAACTATGCATTAGGTTTTATATCAGTGATACTGGTATTTAGAAATGTTACAAGTTACACATTAATGTTTTACCTTCGAGCACTTAGCCAGGACCTCTTCTTTGAACTTCAAGAACCTCTCCTGAATCTCTGGCTGATTGAGAGCAAATGACAGGAAGTGGGTGAAAGGCTGCTTCTTCCGGAACGTCTCTTCTAACAATTCAATGCGTGTCCGTGCAGAAATGACGCCATTGTGATGTTGTCCTGTAATTACTGAAATAAAATGTTCCTAAGCTGTAAGCACAGAAAAAAACCCAATGCAATGCAATTCAGGCTGTAGCATCTTAGTTCATCTACCTTCTTTGAATATGCTTACTACCCTACTGGCCACAGTTAGTTTAATTGTGGTTCAACACATTTCTGGGTGTTTTTTTTTTTTTAAGTTTTGAGATTAGCAAATATACAGGTCACTTGTATAACTAACATTGCATTGGTGCAAACACTTTGGAAGCTTGTGTTCAACAGTATTGAAAACCTTAGCAACAGAACATGTAAAGCAAAAGGTGAGTTTGTGTTGTACGGGCAAGTTGCTCAGGGATGTGAAAGACAAAGAAAGGTTAGAGTACCATGACACACATTAGAGGGGTTAAAGAGAAGAAGGCTAAACGACAGATTGAGGAAGTGGGTTTGGGATCTAAACGAATAGGAAAGAACCAAAGGAGGGGGCTAGGGAAGGAAGGGCGAGAACCAGTGATACCTTTCTATCCGTTTACATCGGTTGGTAAAAAGGACAGATTCAGATAATCAGGGAGTAGTCAGATATATTTTTCTTATATTCAGATATATTCCCTTACTTAGCTGCACTAGCTTTGTCTGAACTTGATACCTTCCACTCAACTCCAACCTAAAGTTTGATTACTTTTGGATACATTGGAAACATTTTAGGACCTTTGTTTTTAAATGCAGTCTGTACCCAAACAAAGAAAGTATAAAAAGTTAACAGAAGTTCTAACCCTTCCTTGCTTAATCCATAATACAATTTTTTATTAGTTGGAGTTGAGCTTTCAACTCAAGTTTCGGGGGGTTGAGATGACAACTGGCATGTCAGTTGTCAGACCTTAAATTCTGCACTTCCCCTAACTTTGCGTGCATGACCATGTGAAATAGCAGACCCCGTAGTTATGAGAAATAAAGATAGCTACAGGGCTCTGTGATTTATCTTATGCCCCCAGCAGTTGGAAGACAAGATGCAAGTCCAGGCAACCATCATTGTATACAAGAGAGATAAAGAAAAGCGGGGCTTTAAAAGTGTCCAATCCATACAGAACGTCCATCAAACATACATGGTTTTGTATAAACGTATATTTAATACATAAAGACTTGGTTACAATTAAAATGTCATTGACATGATACAATGTTACATTGAAATCAAGCTACCTCCTTTTGGTGCCCATACATGTGTACATATATATATAATTCATTAATATAACATGGACTCCTTGAGTCCTGATTTCTGTAATAGTTGTATGATCCACTGTGGGCCCAATCTCCGACGCGTTTCGCAACTGTATGTGCTTCCTCAGGGAGGTTGGAGGTATTCTAGGACATTACATCAAAATAGGTTTAAGTATAATGATCACAGATACCAAATTCTTAATGAGAATAATAAAAAATAAAATAACAATACAAAACCCACTTCATGTTCACAAAGATGGCTGGATCTTTGGTCACACATGCTGTCTCGCAATCACCAAACAGGTGAACAGGTGGGAGGTAACCGGGGATAAACAGGACTGAGAACATGAAAATGAAATAAGAGATCATACGTTCCAGGTTTACCAAAGAATTTGTTCAGAGATAGATTTGTGCAAAAGTATGCAGAGATATAAACTATCTATGTTAATAGAGGCAGTTGACAGTCCGTAAATACTGACAGAGGACAACAGGATCCCATAAAGATAACAATAAATCTGACTCTAAATATAGGGCATAACTATTACTAAATAATAGCTTCAGGTAAAAATACTCAGAGCCTCGAGGAGCACCTCCAAAACGGTTGCTTCCCACCCAAATCAGTTTAATTCCAATAATCTAAATAGCGATCCAAATGTTCATCTTGGTCAGTAGTAGAAACGGGCAGTAAATATAGTTGGAACTAGTTTTTACCTATTGCAGAAAATCCCATCGTCTGTGTTGTTCAGGATCAGCAGTCTATAAAATGGCTCCATGATGAGCCACTTTTAAACTGTCTCGCAATCACCAAACAGGTGAATAGGTGGGAGGTAAGAGGTGGGAGGTAACCGGGGATAGACAGGACTGGGAACATGAGGATGAAAATGAAAACAGGAGGTCATAAATTCCAGTTTTTCCAAAGAATTTGTTCAGAGGTAGATTTGTGCAAAAATATGCAAAGATATAAACTATCTATGTTAATAGAGGCAGTTGACGGTCCGTAAATACTGACAGAGGACAGAAGGATCCCATTAAGATAACAATAAATCTGACTCTAAATATACGGCATAACTATTACTAAATAATTGCTTCAGGTAAATATACTCAGAGCCTCGAGGAGCACCTCCAAAACGGTTGCTTCCCACCCAAATCAGTTTAATTCCAATAATCTAAATAGCGATCCAAATGTTCATCTTGATCAGTAGTAGAAACGGGCAGTAAATATAGTTGGAACTAGTTTTTAGGCAACCATCATACTTCAGGGTGAACTCAAACCCCTGCCACTCAAGCTGGAGTCTCATACAAAAGTAAGTAAGCTAAAAGGAAGGGCAAATAGAAATCTTTGATAAGCAGGAGTACAAAATTATAATTTAAAGTGTATATAAACCAAAAATGTATGTATATTGTGGTATTGTGTGGCAATCCCACTGTGAAATTTGGTGTTATAATCACCCAGGATTCCAAACCAAAGGGGCTTAGAGGTTTCAAGAAGCAAGGGTTTTTTCAGGGAAAGAGCTGGCTTTTCTGGACTCTGTTGGGATCCTGGAACCGGGAGGGTTTAAAGTGATTCAGGAGGGAATAAATCTCCAGTCCTGGGTCCGGGGTTTAGCAGTGACCAGCACCCAATGATTGAACCGGTGTGCACAACCCTTAAGGAAAGGTTGCTGGCTAGGAGAATTAGCTCCTGCCCAGAAGTCAAAGTGGAGTCAGGTTGTGTGTGTGCTGGAGGCACATGAAGACAGCCAGGGAGGCTGGGAGAACTGGTGAGGCTGGGAGAGTCGGGAGCCAGTACAAGACAGCACTACAAAGAGGACTGGTGGGTCAGAGTTATTAATGTTAAGCGTGGAAGCCAGGAGGCTATAGTTATGTTGTGTTGCAAGCAGTGCATGAATGATGTACTGAACAACCCCTGTAAGAGTATCCACGGTGGATGTGTGAACTTTAGTTTGAATAAAAGTGGGCTACCAGGCCCTTAAAAAGAAGATATTGCAAGTGGACTGCATTCTTAAAGTGCTTGCCATATGTGCTAATGTCCCCAAACATCACACTATACTGCAGCTTACCAGTCCATAGATGTGGTGGATGCATTTTTAGCAAGTACAACAAATACCTGTTGATCTTCCCAGAAATGCAGTGTCCTTGTCACTTCCTGTGAGATGAAAACAAAGCAAAATCTCTCTTTTGTAAACTAACAGTCCCACCAATCCACCATGTAATGGAGATGAATAAAGGCAGACATGTTTGAAATCCAGCCTGTATAATAACCATGGCTCCTTACATAGATACATTGGAGAAGTGAGTGTAGACACACAGCGACAGGAAGCGTGTGTGTTATTTGCAGCATTACCAGGTGAAAATAAAAGGGAAATAGCTTGAAAAAAGAAACTAAAGCAGCCACTACATCTATGGACTCGCAAGCTGCAATATATAAAAGTTTTGATTTTTGGTTTAGATACGGTTTAAGCATGAATATTCAATACTTTTGAAGTAATACAGTTGTTTTCTTTAAGGCTACAGCTGTACAGGCAACATTAATCTTTCACTACTGAAAGATTTAACCACTTGCTGACAATGGTCTTATTAGACGCACATGGATTTCAATGTGCTGGAAACAAAATGACTGCCAGCAAGTGGTTATAATTCCCAGCAGCAAGAGAATAAAATTGTCTGTATAGTCCTCGTCTTAGAGTGGTAGCTACACAGGTTTATTAACTCATAGTGATGTTTTCTAGACCAAAGGTAAAACGGCAACAAACAAATAAAATGTAAATTCGTTTTCAACAGCACACGACTTCTGAAATCATTTCCATCATTTTAATCGTTGCCATACAATTTTCTGCTACAGCTTCTCAAATGCCATTTAAATAGGCAAGGCAGGACATTTGAATTTTACTTCATATATGTTTACATGTGCAGCTTTATATACTTTATTTATAGATTCATTTGTGGCATAACTTTGCATCCCTAACAGGGGCGTAACTAGAACTCACAGGGCCCCATAGCCAAATTTTATATGGGGCCCCCCAAACCGCCCCAACACCCTCCTCCGCAACCTACCCCCAGAACATGTTCCCGTGCCTGCGCCGTCTTTGTAGTTATGCCACTGGTCAGAGGGCACAGTGCTGGGTATAGTCAGAGGGTACAGTGCTGGGTATAGTCAGAGGGTAGAGTGCTGGGCATAGTCAGGGGGCACAGTGCTGGGTATAGTCAGGGGGTACAGTGGGGGGTATGGTCAGAGGGCACAGTGCTGGGTATAGTCAGGGGGTACAGTGAGGGGTATGGTCAGGGATTACAGTGAGGGGTATAGTCAGCGGGTATAGTGAGGGGTATAGTCAGAGGGCACAGTGCTGGGTATAGTCAGGGGGTACAGTGAGGGGTATAGTCAGCGGGTATAGTGAG